TCAAATCGACCACATAGCAGTAACCTACCGTTAGCGTGGCTCAGTGCAAAATTGCAGGTTCTATTGGATCACCTGCGTTGAGTTGGACTGCGCATTAGTTTTGATGCAGTTCACTGTCCGACTGACTGGTAGGCGAAAAACCAGCAAACTCGTATAACTCATCATCGACTATCTGTTCCAGCAGTTCGAGCATTCTATGGGTCAGAGCTCAATCTTGAGCTGAGCGCGCCACAACGTGATGATGTAGATGAGCAGTGGGATCAGATTAGGAGAGCAATGCATTCCGCAGCGAATGTTGCTTGTGGGTCTGAGCCTCAAGTCCGCCGGAGGCATTGGATATCTCAGGCGTCGGTAGTTTTGATGGAGAAAAAAAGACAAACCCCTACCTGCCAGGAACAAATAGAATTAGGTGACATCTACAAGGTCAGCTCAATTGAAGCCTTAAGAAGAAGAAAAAGGAGAACTTGTCGGCAACAATAGCTAGTGAAATGGAAGTAGCAGCTGCACCAGGGAATAAACAAAGACTGTTCCGACTGATACGCAACACGGATGATCGGCGAACTCCAGTTAGTGAAACAGTATGCGATATGATGGGATAAGCTATTCACAATAGGGACCAACGACTTATTCGCTGGGCGGAATACTTCAGCGAACAGTTCAGCTGGCCTGGTGCTAACCAGGCTGCTTCATTTCCAACTGAAGCTCCGTGGGCAGTATCATGCTTTCTTCAGTAGAAGCAGAAGTTCGGTCTTGCATTCAGACACTGAAGCGAGGAAGGGCTGTGTTGCATCAGGTCCTATAGCTGCGTCACACCCGCCATCGATCAACAATCGCAGTGTTCATCGACCTGAAAAGAACCTTCGACTCAGTTGACCGCGAAGCTCTGATGTGCTCTCTTCTTCGAGAAAGAATATCCTAGAAGTACGTCAACTTACTGACTTACTCACCATACACGCATAACTTCGACCGTGTAAGAGTTTATGATGAGCTAATTGAGCCGTTCGTCACCAGCAACGGCGTTCGTCAAGGGTGTTCTCTGTCGCAATTTCT